AAATGATGCTTTTGCTTCAAGGGTGGTGTGTACTTCCACAGCATATCAAAATATTTTGTCTGCCACATTTTAGAATGGTCTCCTTACGCAACCAAACCATCTCCTTTCTTGAGGAAATGATGTCCTCCACTTTAGTCATTCACTCTACAGCATAATTTCCTGCACCACTCATGGGGAAGGACAAAAGATGGAGTGGGGATGAGATCCTGTGGTGAGACAAAGATGGGTGTTTCTACTTGATCTTTGCTTAGGTTTGGGGAGCTTTGGGGCACAAGCAAACATGAGTGCAGCTCCTTGGGAGCTTCTTGTACCTCATTTGCACTTTAGCCTCCAAGATTGATTGCACCATGAACACCTTAGAGAAGGGACACCTTGATGAAGGACCTTTGAATTTTTCATGATAATTTTTTTTTTTGATTGGATATCCAGTTATTCTAAAAGCTTTAGTTGTTCCTAAATTATCATATATATATATATATATATATTACATTTTATATGTCATTTAAGTATGTGCATGAGATTTTCGTCAATGCAATTTTAGAGAGGGTCAAATGCTTAATTTAAGCTAAATTTATAAAAAGGTTATTTCTGTGATACAAATCTTGATCACCTAAATATATCATTTAAGCTAGTTAAAAAATATTATATAATATTTAATCAAATGTTGGATGATATATAGAGAGATGGATAGAGACATTGTTCTAATTCATAACCTCTTCTAATATCATGATAATTATTTTGAATTAAATTTCCAAAATCTTCAAGAGTTTAAATTGTCAGAAAATGATCATGATATTAAAATATTTGACAATAAAAGATTTCAATGGGGTATCCAGAAATTCTTAAAGCATAAGTGGTTAGCAAAGAATATAGTATTACATTAAATTATATCACCTCTCAGTTGTCAAAAAAGTATATAGTTTAAGTCAATTAGGAAACAAAATGCAGATATTAACTAAATATTAAATGATATATGGAGGGACAAATGCATGGTTCTGATTCACAACCTGTTTTGATTTGAATAATCAAAGATTTGAAGAGTTTAAACTATCAGAAAATGATACGTCAATTGGAGTTACATTTAAAACAAATCTCCAATATATATTAGATTCTAACACTTGATGATGAGTTTGTACCCACTAGGGAGGTTGATGGATCATGGTGACAGTCTCCATATCCATCTGGAATAGGACAAGTCGAGTCCCCACTGGTGTAGGCATTACAAGTATCACCACCTAATTTTGATTCGGGGATCACTTGAAGTCCACTTGTAGTGGCTTCACCACTTCCTTGTTGGAGCTGCAACACTAAACCTAAGAAAGGATTGGTCGATGCATGCCCTAATAATGATGGAGGACAGAGATACGGCAATGGACTCGTGCTATGTCTAGGTTAGGTCATGAGCTGTGCCTCCCCTAATAATGGCGTCCTTGCATGGACTACTAAGCTAAAAGCTTAATGTTAAGATCTAGGATTACAACGATGCAACTTAGCTAAGGATTCATTGACTTTTCTCATCAGCTTGTAGTCCATACTTAATGGATGTCAGCTTCTTGGAAGATACCATACAAGCCAGGCACATGGTACTTGCAGATATGAGAACCCCAGTGATTCATATAATTTAGCCTATCTTATCAATCGATAAGATAGATTAAATTATAATAAAATTAGAAAATTGAAAGAAATAAAAATCAGGAGTCATATAAATACCTACAAAGAAATTGACCCACTTTGATCCAATGATGATGTAAGCACAATGAGACACTAATTATACAATGACCCACGTGGATCTAGAATCATCTAGATCCTTTAATTATTGGTCAGTTTGATTCCCCCATCAATCTCAAATCCATTGGGAAAAATACTTTTCTAAGAAATTTAATATGATACAATTTTTCCCAACTAAATGAACCCTTTCTGATTTGCAATACAAAATAGTTGTATCATCTATATTTAATCAATCATATAACTTAAACATAGAACGACGGATTACTAGTTTTTTCATGATTTTGATGTTTTGGGAAAGTCATTTTGGATAATCCATCTTGGGCAAAGTTAGGCTAACCACAATGATATATCTTACAGTCCATCTTGGTAAGTTAGGTTGGCCATAACGATCGATATATGTTGTTGAGAAAATGGATCAGGTTGGATCTGACTTCACAAGTTAGGCTAACGACCAAAATTGACCTAATTAAGAATATACATTTTTTTTGAAGTGATGAGACTATTCAATTAGTCTCTGCCCAACCAGAACTCTACAGGTTCTAACCTATGTCATAGGGTAACTGGAGATTTGGATCCAGTAAGTTTGGACGCTGCAAGCATCTTTCAACAGAGGACAATTCAACACTTGCAATAGAGTTAAACTATGGTGTAATGCAGCTAATATAACTCATGTAATCTATGAGTGATGGCTTTTAATTCTTGATCACAAATCTTGAGACAGTGAGCTGAAACAATCTATTATTAACTACACCCAATCAGCTAGTTTTCTTCTGTTTATAGGGTCGAGAGTTTGAACCATCCCTACACTTCCTTTTGTCTTCGGCAATAAAATTATTTTTTTCTAAAAATAAATAAATAAAAATTACTCTATATAAGTTCAGTACTTGAGATGTCCATGGATGTAAAGGCGAGCACAAACAAACGGATGATCAAGCTGCTTGATGTGTTTTTGATCTACCATGACAGGCTTTACACATACTTCTCCCACCCCCATTTTGGACACATTATTATTTGCATGATATGTGGGATTGGAGCAGACCATTTACTTTTTTTTGTGTGCTTTAGTTTTTGATCCATTGATGATGAGGCACACTCATGGATTGACAGTGAGTTTTTTCCCTTCTTTGTTATGGTTTTAATTATGTGATAATATTTTATGAGATAGAGATAGAAAGTTCCTTCTTAAAAAATATATAGTATAGCTAATATACAAATTTCTTTCGAAATATTATAGCTAGGAACATGGTCACACATGTTATCCCAACTAATATGGCAATAGTCAATGATCCTAGGAGGCACTTCAGCTAGCATCAACATATATGTGCATCAATCAAGCCTGTGATTAAGGTTGCAGGTCCAGTTGTAGATTTGACCCAACCCTAGTCACCTACGAGTCAACAATCATATTTGGACATTTAGATTCTACAGCTTCCAGTGAATACATTTGATATGGACTAATTACCTAAAAAGACAAGTAATTCATTTGCAACACATGTTTAATTCTTTCCAAGAAAATGATTTCTCGTTCTATCAATAAGAAAAATCATTAACTATCGATAAGTTAAATCTTTATCAACTAAGCTATATGATATCTTTAAAAAAACATTTTTCTGTCAATATTATGGACCATCACTGAATTTACTTTTCTTGATGACTGTTGCTTGGAAGCAATGGATGGAGTGAATTGAGAGCTAATCTTTCACAATGGGTTGAGTCAGATAAATATGACATACCATCTTCTATCGAACTTGTGGCCTGACTGAGTTGAAAGCTATTGGAACAAGCGGGAGAAGAAGGTGGTGGTTCTGATGTGGTACAGGGAAGCGACAAGTCATTTTCCCCAGGAGTACTTCCACTCCTGTGACTATGAGCTATTATCCATCTATTAAAGCTCCTTCTCACAATGTTTGATATGAGAGCAGATCCTTTCTGCCTTTGGACTTTTAATGTCTCGGGCTTTGAGAAAAAAAAAGATAAAAAAAGGAAAAGGGAAGCACGTTTAAAGATGATCTGCTCTCATTTATATTTCTAATCTATCTGCATTCATAGTTCCAACTGTACAAGATGGTGCAGCATGAGACACCCCATTGATTTGGTCATTGTATATTTATATCTGGTTTCTGTTTACTTATGAAATAGGCAATCATGTTAATAGCACTGGTCTTTTAACTTGATTGATTTGCCTAAAATGTTTGACACTCTAAGCAACAATTAATTTAACCTCATATGATGCCCAAGTGCCTGAAAAAGCTACAAATGAACGTATGTGCAAACTGTAAGCTCTAGTGAGGCACATAAACTTGGGATTACAATAATTTTAATGGCCCTTAGAATGCTTTGTAAGTTCTAAATGGTCATCTCCTATTGACAGTTTAATAGACAAAAATTCAATTCACTTGTAGTTTCATTTTTTGTGGCATATGAAAGTTTTTATGTACATGTGTAGTCTACTCCCCAAAATTTTGAAATGAGACTCATGTCCTGATGATTATATTCCTTGGCAAAGATAATTCTGAAAAGTTTAGGCTTTCTGAGAACAGCTTTTGAATTTGAGTTTTAAAGAGACAGAAGGTTCATTTCAAAATTATAACTTTTGCACAGACATTGATGAGATTACTGCTAATATTGTTTGTACTTTGCTTAAACAAGACAATTGTTTAGTGGATTAGCGGGATGAGATTTGTGACGGAGAATCCTAAATAAATTCCATGTTGATTGCCAAAAAGATGGGTGCACTTTTTCTTTTTCAGGGTCTTCACATTTCTGCTATTATTAAGTCAACTTAATAATAACATCAATCATAGACGTCTAATTTTAACTAAGTCCTATGATGCACTCACATTCTCTACATGTAAATATTTGAAACATAAACTCAGGATCATACAAGAATGACTCAATAAAATAACTTGATAATAAAGTAAAGTTGGATAATTTCATCACCTTTCAACGATCCTACTATTTAATCTAAGGTTAAATCATTGTATGTTTCGCATGCTTATATGGTGTGGGTTTCTATCTATGCATGAAAACTTTGTGGTAATTTTATTTAATATATTCAAATTTTGGGTTGTGTTGCTTTGCTTTTCTTTTTTGCTTACTTTTAACTCTCGGCTGAGCTTATAACAGCGTCAGCCGAGCCAAAACTGGAGCCGTCCCGACCCGAGTCAGCTCCAATGACACACCCTAACTCCGAATTCTACCTACCCTGGTGGGACCCACCGGTCACCTCCACTTGCCGGTAAAGAAATTAAAACCTGGTCTCCTTTTTGTTTCCGCCTTTAACCTTAACCGCGGTCTAAGTAACTCCGCTCACCACCCCTCCCTTCCTGTTCTTTATATTAGCCCACAACGCCTCCTCTTTCCTCTGGCGCTCGCTGCTTTCAAGTTTCCCGATACCCACACGGAAGCCCATCAACGAGAGAAGAAATAGGGGAAATCGATGCCGGAAACAGCAGCGAGGGGAGGCGTTTGAGCACATACCTTGTCCGTGGCTCCGATCGGCGGAGGAGATGACGGTGTTCGCCCACTCGATGGGCCGTGGCAGCGAAGGAGCGGCAGGAGGAGTCGCGGTGACGATGAAGGGCGCGGCGGGGCGGCTGCAGGTGCACCCGCTGCCGGACTACGGCGCGGAGGCGTCGCAGCGGCTGGTGGAGGTGGCCCAGCGCGGGGACGCGAGGGAGGTGGCGGAGTCCCTCGCGGACCCGGCGGTGGATGTGAACTTCGCCGGAGCGGTGTGCCTGCGGGCGCGCCGGGCCACGGTGTCCCTTCGGGAGGAGGCCGCCGACGAGGTCCTGGTGGAGTACGAGGAGATCCGCACTGACGCGTCCGCCCTCTTCCTCGCGGCCCACGCCGGTGATCTCCTCGTCGTTCGCAAGCTCCTGGTTCGATCTCCTCGCTCATCCCTCTCTTCTCTACTTTGAATTCTTCTGCTTCGACCTTTTGGCCCTTTGATTGACCTCCAGATTAATATAAACATTCTTTACTATTTATTATTCATTATTTTCTTTATGTCTTATTTTTTATTTACTTAATTTTTCTTGTTTTCGAAAATTATTATACTGATTTCTGCATTTATTATCACAATTATTTTCCTACAATAAACTCGAGTTGTCAAAAGAAATGGGTGCACTTTGGTTCGGGTTCGTGACCCGCAAAGCTGTACCCGATCCATTATTATATACGTTCTCGCACAATTCCATTTCTCTTTGGATTATTTCACTATCCGTTTGCTTTTCTTGATAAGTAGCTATAGCTTCCAGAATGTGTTATCGGATTCGGGTCGAAATTTCTCCCATTGAGGGCCATTGACTTGCCTCATAGTTTCGAAAATTAAAGAAAGTTCTTTGTCCAACACATGCCCCTTGGACGATCGCAAAATCCCAACCGTCCGATCGGAGAAAGGGTGTCGTCCCGTGATTCGCGTCATCTGCCGGCCCCGGCCAGGAATGGAATCACACCACTTAGCTGGCATAACTGTTCACCACACACACTCTCTCTCTCTCTTCAGTGCTTGCACGGATATGATGCGACCAACTCCGTACCCCTTCCTCGGATCAATTTCCCCTTCGATTTGATCCCAAATTGCTGAGAATTAATGGAATTGTGATTAGGGGCCTCTTTAATTCCCGCGAGGAGCGCAAGGTCACGTGTGTTATCGACAAGCAATTCAATGCGCCCCATCTCGTCACACGCGCGGGAAGGAGTTTTAGTACACGAGCACCCTTTATGGCAGTCCGAATTGTCGATCTGTTCTCAGCACAGCGCAGCTTAGCGCGTACGGCGCCGTATCGCGCGCGACTTCGCATCTCTACCGTCCGATTGATCCTCCATCCTTGATCTCTCGTCATCAAGAGTGATAAGTGCAATTAATGAACAAAAAAGACGTGCTTTTTGTTTCTTTCTGGGTGATTTACTGATTAATTTAGTTGCATTAAGATGATTAGAGCTTAAGAATTCGTTATAGTTAGCTAATTTTGATGATTTTGGTGGATTGTGGGTGAAGGAGAAAGGCGCCGACGTGAACCAGAAACTGTTCCGGGGACACGCGATAACGGCGGCGGTGAGGGAGGGGCAGACAGAGGTGGTGGAGGCGTTGCTGAAGGCCGGAGCATCGCAGCCCGCCTGCGAGGAGGCTGTGGTGGAGGCCAGCTTGCACGGGAGGGCGAGCCTCGCGGAGTTTCTCATCGGCACCGATCTCGTGCGTCCCCGCGTCGCCGTCCATGCGCTCGTCTTGGCCGCCTCCAGGGGATTCCTCGACGTCGTCGACACCCTCATCAAGGTAATTCTCGGTGATGATTTAGTAGCACGTCGAGTTCATTTCGGTCTTTCCATGATAACCATAGTAATGTTTATGAGTTCCATTGCCCTAACCGAGGGCAAGGTGTTTTTGGGGATTCCATTTGTGTGTCGTCTCACAGCCAGCTTTCGATTGTACCCTTGAGAAGGTTTAGACTTTAGATGTGAAGAAACCATTAATTAGGTGGATTAAGCAAGAAAAATTGGATTTTTGACTGTCTCGGCTTTAGTATTTTTTGCTTGATTAAAAGATTCTTTTCGTTGGATTAGCAAAAGAGGTCAGATCTTTGTCAATTCTGTTGTGTTCAGCAAAGGAATTGTTCCAATCCACCAGTGATGCGTGGTTTGATCTCAATGCTCAATTCATATGCAGTGCGGAGCGGATCCGAACGCGACATCTCGTGTGCTGCTGCGCTCGCTGAAACCATCCCTCCACACCAATGTCGACGGCACCGCACTAATCGCCGCCATCGTCAGCCGTCAGACCGCCGTCGTCCGGCGCTTGTTGCAGGTACTTCTGACACTCCACCACTCATGCGACGTATTCGTTGATCAATAGATCTCTGATGATGTACGGGTGCCCGCTCAAGGCCGGAGTGCGGAAGGACGCCAAGGTGAGACTAGGTGCATGGTCATGGGACACCACCACCGGCGAGGAGTTCCGTGTCGGCGCCGGTCTCGCCGAGCCCTACACCGCCGCTTGGTGCGCGGTCGAGTACTTCGAGTCCGCGGGCACCATCCTCCGGATGCTCCTGCAGCATCACTCTCTCAACGCTCCGCATTGTGGCCGCACGCTCCTCCACCACGCCATCCTCTGTGCCAATCCTCGAGCCGTCGACACCCTCTTGGCCTGCGGTGCCGATTGCGAGCTCCCGGTCAAGACCAGCCGGAAGACCGAGTTCCGGCCGATCCACATGACTGTCCGACTCGGCCTGGCTTCCATCCTGCAAATCTTGATCGATAAGGGGTGCGACCTGAACTCGAGAACCGACACCGGAGAGACGGCGTTGATGCTATGTGCGCGCTACAACCGCGATGACTGCCTGAGGATTCTTGTGACGGCCGGCGCTGATCTTGGCCTGGTGAGTGTGGCTGGGGTGTCTGCCACCAAGGCCGCCGCTTGCAGCCATTGGAGCATCAGTTTTCAGCGTGTAGTCGTCGACCTGATTCGGGCAGGAACGGTTCCTCGATCGAGCAATCCGTCCGTCTTCTCCCCGATCATGTTCGCGGCCCTATGTGGCGACGTCGGATCCTTGGAGGTGCTATTGACGCGACCAGATATTGACATCGACGGACAAGACGAGGAGGGGTACTCCCCGCTCATGGCGGCAGCCAAAGAGGGCCACGTCAACGTGTTCCGCGTCCTGGTCTTCGCCGGCGCCAACGCGAAGCTCTGCAACAAAGCGGGAGAGACCGCAATCGACCTTTCCCGGTCGAAGGAGAACCGGGATCTCTTCGAGCAGGTGATGCTTGAATTCACTCTCGAGAGAGGGAGTGCCGGGGGGTTCTACGCTCTGCACTTTGCGGCTCGGCGAGGAGACATGGCCGCCGCGCGCCTCTTGACCAAGAGAGGGTGCGACGTGAACGCCGTCGATGGAGATGGGTACACTCCACTGATGCTGGCAGCGAGAGAAGGCCACGCGGAAGTATGCCAGCTCTTGATCCACGGCGGAGCCAAGTGTGATGCCAAGACGCATAGAGGCGAGACGGCGCTTTCGCTGGCGAGATCGAACGCGAAGCTCGGAAAGGATGCGGAGAACGTGATATTGGACGAGCTAGCCATGGCGCTGGTTCTGCGAGGCGGCCATGTCAAGAAGCACACCAAGTGCGGGAGAGGGTCGCCGCACGGGAAGGTGTTGAGGATGGCGGCGGAGGCGGGGGTGCTGCAGTGGGGCAAGGCGAGCCGCCGGAACGTGGTGTGCAGGGAGGCAGAGGTGGGCGGGAGCTCAGCGTTCCAGAGGAACAGGAAAGGGAAGGGCGATAGACGCGAGGCGGGGCTGTTCCGGGTGGTGACCGCCGGGAAGAGGGAGGTGCATTTCGTGTGTGGAGGAGGGGAGGAGGCGGCGCAGCTTTGGGTGCGAGGGATCAGGCTTGTGACGAGGGCAGCATCGGGCAACGGATCGTCTAACAGCACTGCGGCCTTGTAACTCGTTGCGAGTACTGAGTCAACCGAGAAGGGTGTTTTGGCAGGGACGAAATAGGAACGGTGTGTCCATAGTGAAGCCAAGACTTCATCTTGAAGTCAGGGCTTCTCTTCTCTCTTTTTGGCCCTCTCCTTGAAAGGCCTATGTGAAGTTTGCTTAGATCAAATGTTAGATATGTTTCTGATGTCTGGAATTTGATTGTGTTCAACTTCATAATTCTCATAAATTATACTACGTGGAATGCAAGGCATAAAACTGAATAGATAAACTCATAACATTTACACAATACTCCTATTACATTATGAGTCAGCAACACAGCATTTAAATAATTAGTAGCGGAAAAATTAGTGGGTCTTTGTTATCATCAAAATTTGTCATCGATCCACCTTACATGGTTGAGTCAATTAGGTCCATTTCCAAAAGGACGTTGTGTCTCTTCTGAAGTCCCTTACTCATAAAATTAACATCACATAAGCTATCGACATGACCATTTTAACAATACAATTAGTAGATCTTATGTGAGAGTGCGAAGTGAGATTTTTCGGTCCTGAATGATACATTGAAGACTTTTATTTATAGAGTGGTAAGATCATAAAATAAGAAATATTTTTAGATAAATCTACTCCGATTTTTTCCCCGTCCCCCCTAAATACACCCTCGAACTTGAGAAGAGCATGCGTGCACTAAAAAGAAAAGCAGGAGTCGACTTAACATTCTAGGTGGCTCACATCCGGTCCCAGATAAATCGATCCGACGGCTGACATCATTCCGTGGCTACCACGGTTTTCTTCCCCGTTCTTTGATAAATTCACTCCACTTTCATCAGCTCATCCCTGATGAGACGCGCGGGCTTGAGAAGAACATGCGTGCAATAATGAAAAACATGGAGTCAACTTAACAATCGACGTGGCGCATTAACCATCCACGGTTGACATCATTCCGTGGGTATCACGCTTTCTGCCGGATTCTTTGATAAATTTACTCTACTTAGAGGTCACAAGATCCTGATCATACCCCGCGGTCTCAGAAGAACATGCGTGCGCTAAAGGAAAAATAGGAGTCGGCTTAACAATCAACGTTGGGCTTCAGAGCATCCACGGTTGATCCCAGTAAATCGATCCGACGGCTGATATCATTCCGTGGCTACCACGCTTCACCATCCACCCCAGATTAAGCTGCGAGGTCAATCCGACGGCTGAGATCTCCCCGTCGCCACCGGCTCGTGTCGGGAGAAGATAATGGGCGGAGTCATCCACGGATTCCCAGGCTTGGCACGTGTCGGTCTCCTATCTGCGATTAAAATTGCACATGAGCTCCTTACAAAATTTTATTTTCTAATCACACCTGTATCATATCAACGCGAACTTTAAAGCGTTCGTTTTGGTTTGTACAGGGGGTATTATGAAAATATTCAAGTCTTTCGGGAGTCATGTAGAATTCGATGATCGCTCGGGGCTAAAAATAAAATATAGGTTTTAGGAAGGGATATATAGGTAAAATCATTAAGTTTTAATCGGGGCAAGTTTCCCTTATTCTTTCTCTTCTTCCTACGCTTTGTCCGCTCACCTCTTCGCCGTAGAAGGGGGAGAAAAAGAGGTTTTGTTCGCTCACCTCGGCCGCAGAAGGGGGAGAAATTGAGGATTTGGGCTCTTCTTCTCCGCTCTATCCGGAACCCTAGGTTTCTACCTCTCTACCTCCTTCCTCCTCTCCCTTTACCAATTCGTCTTCCCTGTGATTTCGTTGCTTGAATTTGTGGCCGACTTATTCTTCTTATTCTATTGATCGGCGAGAAAAAGCCAAAAAAAAATCATCTTTGAATATCTTTGTGTTAAAATTTGATGTGTTGAAGAATTGATTTGATGAAAAGGTCAAGTCTTGAGGATTTGTTGGGGTTGTTGGGAGTTAGATCAGATTAGTCTTGTTTCTTGTCGTTTGCTCGATAGGTTTGATCCTGTATTCAGATCTCTTTCTATTTGGAATCTGGTTCAAGAGGCTCAATGAAATTTTTGGGGCTGGTTTTTTGTTTGCTATCCAAAATCGAGGGTTTTCTTGGGGGTCCTGAACATTAGGTTAGGTTAGATCAAAATTCTTTTGATTCAGAAGGTGGATTGAACGATAGGAAATTGAGGTGCTTTAGGGTCCTCGTTAGAGTGGGGATGGCACTGAATTTCTCATCTTGTTCTATCTTTTCTACCGCATTCGTTACCGATGATGAGTTCTGCCGACCGAGATGTGAGAGGAGCCAACCCTTTAGTTACCCTTTTTCGTCTGGCTGGGAAAATGGAAATGGTTATGGCTGGGATAGCGGGTCAACAGGCGTGGATGGTGCTTGTGATCCAGTCGATCTGCTACCTGATGACCCATTTGGGATGGGGATCGATGGTGCATTAGCCAGTTTTCTCGAGGTCGGTGGTGGAGACTTGTATGGGTGGGCTTTGTTGTGCTCGCCGGAAACTGAGATTTACCATGATGGTTGGATGGACGAACTTGATGGTTGGGCGGAGGAGAGCTTCATGGTGGCTTCTGTTCATGAAGCCCAAGATGGAAACTTGGAATCTGCCTTGGATATGCAAAAATCTTTAAACTCTGATCGTGCAGCGGAAGCCCACTCTAGTGTGGATGAGGGTCTTCCGCATGAGGGACTGCTCTACTCGCTTGGGTATTTGGGCATTCATGATCTTCTCTCAGTGGAAGGGGTCTGCAGGTCCTTGCGTTTGGCTGTTCAGAATGATGCTCTCTTGTGGAGATGTATACATATTGATTCTCTTTTGGGTGAGAAGATAACAGATGATGTTCTGTTGCGGTTAACACAGAGAGCTCAAGGGAATCTGCAGTGCTTGAGCCTGTCAGGTTGTTCAAGGATTACAGATGATGGCGTGAAGTGTGTACTTGACAATAATCCAAAGCTGAAGAAGGTTAGTATTAATAAGAATGATCGTGTGTTTACCATTTCTATCATTCTGAACTCATTATTTGATTATTTCTTTATGTTATAATTTAACTTGCAGAAGATTTTTTTAGCATGACTGTATTTAGTAGTGCTTCTGCTAATCATTTACTATTTAGATATTCAGCACAAGTGAACATAAAGCCATCATGTCATAGATTACCTCTAATGTTATGGTTTGGTGAAAGCATCAAAGATGAAAGCTAATTCCATGTATGAGTTGTATGTAGCTCTTAATGTAGCATAAATATAACAATAACAGATAAACTTGCTTTCCTGGTCTAGGGTGTTTTTTGGCCGGTCACAACTTACATCAACTCGATGGAACTCATCGAATCACTTGATTGTAAGGGAAAAAAGTAATATGAAGTTATCGATAGATGTATTGTCTTTACTTGTATAAATTTTCTCATTTTGGATGGTGATTCTTGCTACTTGGTGCAATTTATTTAATGCATGCTAACCAGTTAGTTTAGATCACTGTTCATATTTTATTCGTGCAAAGTAATGAGCTTAATAAAAAAGACTGGGAAATAAATGTTTAACCATGAAATAGCAGACTTTGTTGACCTCTTAACTGCCAGATTAGCTGTATTTGAAGATTTATTGATGAGATTTTTTAACTTCATGAGCCTCTTCGTTGTCTAGATTTTGTTATGAGACCAACAGTTGCATGCACAAATATGTATATGTTTCTAATTTCTTAAATTTTCTGGCTTGACATTTTGACCTTTTGAAATTTTTGTATATGACTTGTTTTCTTTGAAGAATAGATCTTCTTGAATTATGCATCAACTTCTATTTTCTAAGTGGAAGATAAATGGCATATCCATTTTAGTGCAAGATTTTCAAACAATTATCTTCCTGAGAAGATGAACTATCTTCCAAAATTTCTATATGGTTTAATATTTTCTTAAAGAAAAATGTACATGTTACAAATGAAGTGTAATACTTCCCAAACCCAATTCTTAGGAAGCTTAGTTAAAAACCTAATAGTATAACTCTTATAAATTGGTTATTTTCTTCTTATCAATGAAAGAATTTGAATGAAAGTCCAGAATGATTGAGCTACCGAAATCAATCAATAAATATGATCTAATACTTTGTCCAATATATATGAGTTGCTTCTGAATTCCTTGTATTGCCTATTAATTGAATTTAAAATTTAACAAGGGGTGAAATTGAAGAAGTTGAAGAGTCCAAGCAGATAGAAATTATTTCCCTTCTTTTCAAATTGGTATCAAATAACTAGTAGTCCTTTCTTATTATGATTATAGAGCCACTGCTTGTAGTCATAGTGGGTAAGTTACATGTTGGAAGGGAGATTTAGAGGATAGGTATTTAGATGTGGAGTTTTCTTTTTTGTGTGCATAGGATAAGTGATGAAGACGGGATTCGAATCCAGGACCTTACGATAATCTGTCAAGGTCTTTACCATTTTAGCTAATTGACACCTTCAAATCTGTTTGTTGTAAGAATTGAACAATTAGTTGTTAATATAAGTTAAACATTATCATCTAAGCTATAAAGTATATAAGATGATGTGGATGGTTGACCATATATTAGCAAAAGGATTGTGGTGGTGTTTTTAACTGATCTCCTCACTTGGTTTGGTTGGAGGAGCAGAGGCCACCTGCGCGAAATTTTTGGAATTATACTGTATTGCATTAGTCAGAATCAGCAAGGTGGGCTTAACAAAGTCCATGATATGTGAGAATCACTTAAAAAATGGAGAGGCTCTCAAGGGATCTTGTATTGTAGTTTAGATGTTCTTTGTTATGCATATAGGATATCCCAATGAATGTGAACATGCATAATGTTTTCTAATCTGAACAGTGTCATGATTTTTTTACTAGATGTATGCTTTCTATTGTTTGTTCAAATTTAGCAATTTTTGATCAACCATGCTTGGGCTATTTCTTCTTTTAATTCTTGTTTATGGATGATAATATGTAACACCTGAAGTTTAGTCCCACATTGGAAGTGGGTGAAAACTTTAACATAGTTATAAGGACTGATGAGTGCATTATTATTAATTTAGGCTTAAATATTATGGGCCAATGGTCCAAACTTAATAAGTTATTTGGATAGCAATCTCATTGGGTTGGGTCACAATAAATGATATCATAAGTGCTTGGCTAGGTAAGGACATCAAGTTATTTGGATAGTAACCTCATTGGGTTGGGTCACAATAAATGATATCATAAGGGCTTGGCTAGGAAAGGACATCCTTGACGGCATGACATAATCTCTCCTTATGTAGGGGAGATTATAATACTTGAAGTTTACTCCAATATAAGTAGGTGAAAACCTGAATTTAGATGAGTATAGTATATTTAATAATATGGCAAGCATTGATTTAGGCTTTGTAAGTATTGATCAATCATCTCTTCAAGTTGGGTCGTAGTACTAGCTAAATAATATTTATGTTTCACAAATATATTACATAATATACTTATGATATAGGTTATTTGAAGTTAAAGTCATGAGGCGTCCTTGCGACATATGCGTCCGCAAAGGGTCAGCCTAGTTGCAACCTCATACATGTCCCGAAGGATCTGTAAAACAGAAAGTTGATTAGATTGAAAATGAGCGACAGACAAGTCTCGACGCCCCGCGAAGAGGGAAGCTTTACAAGCAATTCAGCGAGCACCTTGAGTGCAAGAGAGAAAAGAGAGGAAGGAGAAAACAAGGATTTTAGAAGGTAGAACGAACAGGTGCAAGTCCACAAACAATTGCTCACCGGGTGCCGAGCGTGAAGGCAAGTTCCCTTTAAGTTAACGTGCGAACTTGTGAAGATTGTTCAACGCCCGACACTTTACCGAAGCCCCATCCAGCCCCATGCCACCCGGGGGGTTCTAGGGTGCTGAGATGGTTGACATTTTGCGTGCAGCTGCGGTCTGCATAAAACAGGTCGTGGCACGCGAAAACGGAGCCATTTTGGGGCAGTTTTGCTCGGCGTGGTGAGCGGTCGCACTGTAGCGCTGCAATTCGTTCGAACATGCATTCTTACAAGTAAAAACACATAAAACCAAGGCAAAACATGCTGCCAAGCATTTGTACATAGATGCAAAAGCAACGAACGGTTCGTTTAACGAAGTTGTTGCAGGTGCACAATGATCGTTCATGACAGTACGTCAAATTTCTATGCTTATGTAATGTGTATGTTAATGCTATCGTTATACCTAAATCATGGCAATTATATCTATCAAAACAAACTTTTGAAAATATGTTATAAAAGTACAGCATTGCAATAGCATTGTATTGCAGTAAATTAAGCTTATTTTACTTGATTTGATTCAAAAGTGAAGTGAGAGAAAAAGATCAGCGAGTACATGTTAAATTTGGAACATGTGGTCATGCTATGCATATGATGCCTGAATGAAGAAGCTTAGCTCTAAATATAAACTGCAATTTGTTGAAATTTTTTGGCAAAATCTCCCCAAAATAGAGTTTACCCGACTTGCAAATTCATTTAAATTCTAACAGAAATTGGTTAACAACTTAATATATAATCAATCGACATAGTTGTTATCAACCATACAACTATACAGTTCTGCATCTGTATGAAGTAATCTTATTCCAGTTCATTGCCAAACTATCTTATATCATCATAAAATTTTCTAAAAACCCATAAGATATATAAAAGTAAATATATACAAAATTTCAGCTCAAAATATAACTATTTAAAGGTCCAACTATCCTCTTAGTTTGACTATCATCATCTCGTTCTGTTGGAACTAGATTAATGATGTCTGAACTTTTAAGGCTCATATCTTGGTGTATAGAAATATTATTCACTTAATTCTAAAGCCTATGAAATCCTAAGGCATGCTTCTAACACATATATAGAAGTACATAAGCCAATGTATTAATGAGGGTTTCGAACTGGCTAGAATGGAATCCTCCGAGTACTCACTGTTAATATATCTTTATGCACAGGCTTTGGATTAAAGCTATTCAAGAACCCATAGAACCATAACTTGTACATATACAACTTATTCCCCTTTAGCAACTATCTTATGGTTAAACCTGTATATTTCTATGGTCTGTCATGTCTGAGTTTTTTGTACTTTAGTATGTTAAGGCCAGGGATGTTTTTGTTGGTGGTTATATTCCCCCTCTGCAAATACTTGATTTTGATTTTCTAAAGTTAATTAAGGATTGCAATCTGCATGTTATAATCTAGTGAAAAGGAAAAAGAAGTTTTTTGCCCCCATCTATCTACTGCATGTTCTGGTTATATTTATCATATTCCATTTATGTATGTATGCTAATTTGGTATAATGTATGACCTTACATGAGAGCACGAGCTTTGGTGACATGATAGTGACAACTGTTCAAGTTGTGTAAATATCTTCTTGCTTGCAAGGATTAAGGCTGCATATGTTGATCCTTCTTAGACTCCATATTAACAGGAGCTTTTTCACCATGCCAACTTTTTTCTGACCATGCATAGTTTATTTAATTGTGACATGTTTATATTAATGATTATTTTTTTGGTTATGCAGCTAAGTGTTGCTGGATGTGTGAGACTAAGTCTTGATGGGATCATAAATAACCTAAAGGCTTTCCGATCACAAGGTACACCAGGAATAGAGCACCTCAAGCTTGGGAGGCTTTTCAGCATATCAGGAGAACAATTTGGAGCGTTGAAGTTGTTGCTAGGCATAGACCAACATCAACAGGCCCAAGCTCAGAAGCCAAGGTTCTACCACACAAGTGACTCATCTCTTGTTTGCGATGACGACTGCATCATTGATGTTGAAATGTGCCCAGTGTGCCAGAAATACAAACTCGTTTATGACTGTCCTTCAGAGGGTTGTCAAGAAAAGGGTCCTAAGCACTGCAGGGCTTGTGACTTTTGCATTGCCAGGTGTATCCAGTGTGGGAAATGCATCAAGGATTGCATGTATGTTGAGACATTTTGTCTCGAATATCTATGTTCAGGTTGTTGGAAGGAAGCACTCGCAGAACATAGAAGCAATGAAGAGAAGTGAATTTGCTTTAATATAGTGTTAGTTGTTCATTCAATTTGTTCCTTAATAAGAATTTCAAAACCAGGTGTGATTTTATTCTTTATCTGTATTGGGTTTGGAGGCTTTGTACGTTTATACCTTTTGGTGGATCAGTATTTGATCTTCGTCAGTCTGGAATTGGAGCAATATATGGAAGAAAAAATGAACCATTAATAAAGAGATGAACTTGAAAAAAGGAAAAGGAAGTTGTTGACATTATACAGTGTTTCTTTAGTACAATCAGCCAAAAAACAATACAACCATGAAGATAAGATGTGGAAGCTGATTGCCAGGTATTTTTAACTTGCTTGTCTATTTTATTCTTTCCAGGTTGAATTGGATACGAGACTAACTACAGACTTCTCTTCTATTGCCTCTTTTGCAGTGAATCAATTGCAGCTCAACATCAATATTACCTGTGTGTCAAAATATGTGTGCTAATACGCCAGTGAACTGTGTCCATGCTGAAAATTAGAAGATCATCTCAGGTGGCTGTCAGAGGACACTCTTTCGTCAGCACATCGGTTCGTGCTCTCTGCCCTAGCCATGGAGAGCCGAGAGTTCATCCTCCCAATTCAGTAGATTGCTAGGAGTGATATCTCAAGGATTGCTGATCCATTTGGTAAGTAGTGTGGTAGTTGTTCTATGCAATTTCATGTTGAAAATGGTTTTCTGCAAAGCTGCACTAAAAAAATGTCTTTGTGACTCCAAGAATCCTTCTCTAGTGATGGACTGTGAATTTGATTTCATCTTAGCTGCACGCTGGAGTCATCTATACTCTCCATTTTGGAGTTGCGAACATTATTTGTTGTCTTTAGATTTGCAATGACAATGATGAGTGCAGGGTGTACAGAAATGGTTTCTTAATCGAGTTCTATAAATTCTGTTGCACTATAAGGAGTCTTGTCTTAATAGGTAGGATCTGTTTTGTTCAACTTAAAAGTTGTATAGTTCTCCACTGGGTTTATATTGGTTGAAGTGTACCAAAGATTTTTCATGAATTGAGTGAATTTATGGTGTGAGGGTAAATTTATAGTTGCAAGATAGGATAAGAGCTCTGATTCCAATGATTCAAAAAGGATTTCTTAGCACAGTCATTCTAAAAATAGATGGAAATAAATTGTATCCATAAGACTTGAATCTATACCAAAGGTGTAGAAGACCTTTATTATTTTGATTCTTACCATTTTTTATTGGATAAAAAGAAGTTTATGCAACAAAATGTTTTAGCAATAGAACAGGATCATGTCAATGGTAAAGGTCTTTATCTGATAGGTTACTTGAAAATTTCCAAGTATATTAATTTTGTTCTATTTTTGTACTTAAAAGTTAATTTTGTTCTATTCTTGTACTCCAAAAATCCTGAATGGGAAAGCTAAGATAAGATCTCCCATTTAGGATTTGTCAACCATTGGCCTTCTGCATCGATCTACCGTTTTGTTTCATCCGTTTCTTTCTTGGGTTCCTCCTCTTACATTTTGTCTCCTTTGTATTCGGTATGACATTGTGACATTTTGTCTCTTACATTTATCACAAGGTTTACAATATTATTCAATATAATTTGGTATAACATTATAAGCGTGGTATTTATTGGTTTGACGATATATTAGTACATGGACCATTCAAGATTATATTCTTTGATACAGGGTTTGTATCATCCTAGTATGTTCGACACAATGCTTGTGTTACCCAATGTGAGAAAGGAATAACCTCACATTAGTGTAACATCTTATTTTAAATGTCATTCATATTCTACATGAAATTTATGACTAAAAGTAGGATATCATTTTTTACTACTATCAATAATAGTTTAGTGAAAAAGTAGATAATCTTAAGAGTATAACATATTAATTTACTAAATAAAATGATAGGGTTTCCTCGACACATAATGATTTTAACACATGTATATAATTATAATATTTAATAAAAAAATATGTATATATAATTATAATATCTAATCAAAAGAAAAACACATAAGTAACAATATATCCGAAATTTATACACATAAAAAATGCTATAAGTCATTGTTTGTATTTGTATAGATTTTGGCTCTTTTATCGAATCATTAGGTGGGATATTAGTATTCTTATATGTAAAATATGGTCTATAATGAGTAATCATTTAGTAAGTATAAGTCTTTATAGGTGAGTATATGCCATGTTATGTATATAATATTTTAAAATCATAGGTATAAGACATTTAACGGTAAACACTTCATCGTATGACTTATTTAGCAAGCATAATCCTACAACATAGTATATTAACATATGCACAATAAAAAGATCAAAATTTTATATCGAAATAACTCAAAATATTTATATGCACATGTAGGAATCGTAGCATAGATTTTTACATCTCTTATTATAACCTATATGTGTATTCCCATATTGCACGTCATTGTAATATCTATATACGCTCCTACATTATACTCTCAGGAACGGTTGTTACACACCTACAATAATTTTGGGTCGTTCATTACTTTTGTTTGCTTATACATATATTTGGGTAATATGTTTTGCCTCGTCTTTTAGTGTTTTTGTTTAAAAACTATAAGCATCAATAGTTGCAAGGTCGTAGAGTGATCGCTCACCAGAATAAGTAAAATTATCCCAAAATGGCCTAGTTTTTGTATGTAATGGCCTATTTTCTATAGATTGCAGTGTGAAAAAAAATGTTAGCTATCTCAACACCTTGGAACCTTGAGGGTGACACCGGGGGGATGAGAGTTTGGGGTAATGTTGGATGTTGATTGAATTCATAAGTTCACACGTTAAGCTTACGAGAACTTGTCAACACACCTAACACTCTATGAGTCGTTGTTTGTGGACTTGTGACTATTCGTTTGCCTTCTAAATACTATAAGTGCTTTGCAAGCCAATCATATGAGTGATAGCACGTGTGACACTGCATAATATTTTTTGTTATTATTATTATGACATTTTATCACTTTATATTAATGATATATATTGTGACGTCCTTGAATCTGTGTAGTAGGAATTGAATCATGATAATGAGACCAATTCGCTTATAAACGTAGACGCTAAATATTCCCGGTCATAAGTTACTCGAGAGGGATATTGAAATAAATGGACAGACTAGTGTGCTATACACCCGTCTATATGATGGAAGCAATTAGTCGTATAGCTACTTGTGTGGTGACATTAGGGGTATAGTGCAGGTTCTCATTGGAGAATGAGTTCACTAAATGATCCACTTGTGGAATATTTATTGGTTAATGATACCTTATCGTCAAATAGCAATTTCGTAGTCCCAATTGTGCGTTTGGTCCTTAAACTCGAGATAGCAATACTTTATTGGTTAATGATACTCTTTTCTATTTTAATTAGATTATTGTGTAATTTGTTACTAAATATCCTAGCTTTTCAAATTGAAAACATAGTTTTTTCTTTTAAGACATTCCCCCATATGATACTTTCCATATTCAATGTAAATGGGTCTTTGCATTTAAGATGATTGAGAAAACTAAGATGTCTTTTTTTTTTTTTAAGGACATTTGAGTTGTCTTTATTATTATCATTGACTTGGGTATCATTTTCCTTTGTTATCCAGAATTTATTATGAGGGCTTGTTATAAAAAATAATATAATTTTTTAGTATATCATGATTACGACATATCTATTAGGTTTGAAAAATCTTTTACTGGACGTCCTTTTATCTCGAAAGCTTTTTTTATTACTATGGAATATAGAATATCCAAGGTATTTATTATCATCTTCACATTCTAATAAATTTCTACTCTAAGTCCTTATAGAGATTGATTCATCCTCAAGGTATTAGTGTTAACCATGTAGGGTGTAAATTAGGAAAACTTCTTGAACTTTTTAATGTAATCTAAGCCTTCTTATTTGAGGTAAACAAATTTTGTCATCTTGGTTTGATTAGTGGGCTGCATTGAAATATATGTTTTAAAGTTCTTATTATTTTTTTCTAGATCATTTATTTAGTATCTATAATTTTTGTTCTTGCATCTCATTACATGAGTATTTTCTACAGCATAAATATTGTACAAATAACTTTATTTTCATCTGAAATCTTTATGTACCTAAATATTCTTTTAATATTTTCTTTGGTCATTAATAGATCTATATCACATTCAAAGACTATTGATCAATATTTCTAAACCTCTCACTTGTTGATTCTAAAATATCATGTCCTTGAATCGTTTCAAGCATCACCTCTTATTCTCGGGCCAATAATTGCTCAAAGTTATCTAAATTGTCTCTTTACCAATTCTGTTAGTTTATTAATTATTGCATCTCTTTGATCTTCTTACGTGGATGTCTCTCTTCCATCAGGAGTCTCTTTTTGACATTACTAGAGCTATTAGCTTTTTCTTTTCTTCTCATATTATTTTCTTGATTAATCATAAGATGTTCACACCCTAGTTGTCAAATATAAGGATATTATATAATAATAAAAAAATCAATATAACTCAATTATTAAAATTTACAGGATAGTTGAGTAGTGTGTTTTATACTTTTGTAAATACAAATAATCTACAAGAGTCATGACCTAGGCTTTAATATCATCATACTCCTAAGCCCACCAATACGAGATATGCATGACTAAAATAAAATATTAATTTTTAGTTCTTTTATTGTTATTAATATGAGTGTAGTACAAAAGTAGATAATTTTGAAAGTAAAATATACTAATTTATCAAATAAAATTATAAGGTTTCCTCTATATATATATAGTGATTTTGACATATGAACATAATTATAACCTCTAATTAAAAGAAAAATATACACATATAACATGTTCAATATATATATATATATATATATATATATATATATATATATATATATATATATATATATATAT